TATCATTTATTTCTAAGTATCTCTTTATCTCTCTTTTTATTTCTATTACCCGGTCATTCTTCAGTAACATGTTGTTTAATCTTCTCATATTTGTGGTTCTTCCTTTTTTCTTTTTACAGTTAATCTCCAGCTTCAAAGCATTGTAATCATAGAATATGGTTGGTATGATTTCAAACCTCTTATATTTGTTGAGGCTATCTCTGTGCCCCAGTATGTGGTCAATTCTTGAGAATGTTCCATGTGTACTAGAGAAGAATGTATAAGCAGCTGTTTTGGGATGGAAGGCTCTGTAAATGTCAATTATGTCCAGTTGGTCTTATGTGTCATTTAAAGATATTATTTCCTTATTGATTTTCTGTTTGGATGATCTGTCCATATCCAACAGTATTTAGGTTCCCTACTATGATAGTGTTTTGGTCTGTTTCTCCCTTTAGTTCTGTTAGTAGTTGCTTTGTATATTTTGGTGTTTCCTGATTGGGAGCATAAATATTAATAAGCGTTAGGTCTTCTTGATGCATGATTCACTTTATCATTATGAAGTGTCCATAATTGTCTCCCATTACTCTTTTTATCTTGAAGTCTATTTTGTCAGATATAAGTATGGCTACCCCCGCTTTTCTCTGGATGCCATTTGCTTGGGTTATTATTTTCTACTGTTTCACTTTGAGTCTATATTTGTCCTTGCACCTGAGATGTATCTCTTGAAGGTAGTCTATGGTTGGGTTTTGTTTCTTGATCCAGTCTGCTACTCTGTGCCTTTTTATTGGTGAATTCAATCCATTTACATTTAGGGTGATTATTGAAATATGAGGTTTTCCTATAGCTATTTTATCTTTTGTTTTCAGTAGCTCAGTGTTTCTTTGTTCTATTGTTTTTTTTCTCCATTGTTTCTTTGTCCTTTAATTTGTGTTTTGTCGATTTTCTCTCTGTTACCTCTTGTTTTATGATATGTGTCTCAGTTCTGGATCTTTGGTGTGTGGTTACCATTAGGGTTATGCAAAGGAAAGTTATATATATATATATACAGATACATACATACAGTAGTCTGTTTTCTTCTGCAGGCACCTTATCTCCATTTCCCTTTGCGAATTTAGATCTTTACTCCCTCCTCTTTTCTGTTTTTGTTGTCTTAAATTATCACTGTATGTGCTGAGCATTCCTTTCTAAGTTTCAGTAGCTATTATCTTCTTTTTTTGGAGTGTTTTCTTTCTTTTTTTTTTTTTTTTTGCTATTTACTGTGTGTCCAACTCTTCTGATGATGTCAAAATGTCTTGCTTTCCTGGTTCCCTCCTTCTCGGCATCTTGGAGCTTAGTGAAGAATACAGTGAAATGTTCCAAGGGTAGCAGGAAACAAATCCCATAGGTCGAGAAAATCATAACCAGTAAAGAGCATCCTTAAACATTCATTTTTTTTATTTGCTACTAGGAACTCTTAAAAACATTTCTTATATATTCTGGTAAATGATCCATCAATATAATGACAAAGAAAGAATTCTCAAGACAGCCAGGGTAAAGAAGACAGTTACTTACAAAGGAAAACCTGTTAGACTATCATCAGACTTCTCAGCACAAACCTTACAAGCAAGGAAGGGGTGGAACCAGATATTCAAACTATTGAAAGAAAGAAACTACCAGCCAAGGATAATGTATCTAGCAAAGCTCTCCTTTAGATATGAAAGAGAAATAAAGATGTTTCCATACATACAAAAGCCGAGGGAACTCTCCACCATGCAAAAGGACAAAAAACATATAACTATGAATAAGTTGACCAACAGGCAGACAGAAACAGGAAAGTAATCAAAAGAAAAACCCCCTTTCTTTCTTTGTCATTAATTTTTGACAACTTTAATATAATGTGTTTTGGAGAAGGCCTTTTTGGGTTGAGATAATTGGATGTTCTGTTTGCTTCTTGGGTTTGAAGATTGAGTTCTTTCCTTAAGTTTGGGAAATTCTTGTTGACTGTTTGTTTGAATATGCTCTGTTCTCTTTTCCCTCTCTTCTCCTGGTATACCTATTATGTTGCTTTTTCTGATGGTATCAGATATTCTTGTAGAGTTCTTTCATTTTTTTTTTCATTTTCAAGTCTCTCTACTTTCTTCTGCATTATTTCCAAATTTCTGTCTTCAATATCCCTAATTCTTTCCCCTATCTGGTCAGCTCTATTTCCTAAGCTTGCTATTTCATTCTTCATCTCTTTTAATGTGTCCCTAATCTCCAGAAGTTCTATTTGGTTCTTTTTTGTGGTTTCAATCTCCTTGGTAGTGTATTCATTTTGTTCATTTATTTTGTTTCTAACTTCTTGGAATTGTTCAGAATTTTTGTGCATCTTGTTGAGTTTTTTCAGAAGTGCAATCCTGAAATCTCTGTCATTTAAATTGCATATTTCTATGTCTTCAATCTTATTTTCTGGAGATGTTTCACTTTCTTTCTGAGCTTCCTGTCTCCTTGGTTTTTCATGGTGTTTGATGGACTATTAATCTGCCTCGGCATTAGTGGGAGTGTACTCGGCTTTTTTTTATTTTTTATTTTGTTTATTTATTTTTTAAGAAAAATGAGAAATTTTATTATATAGTGATCTCTTTTTAGGACATTGATAAGAGGGGGTTTTTCTTTTGATTTCCAGTAAGTGGTATCCATGTTTCTTGGATATGATTTAAGGCTAAAAATGCTCTTTCCTCTCTGGCATGTGCCACCTCTGAGATCAGGTCCCTGGGTCCCAGGGCTCCACCCCCTTGAAAGGGTGTGATGGGCAATGGAGGTCTGAGTCTCTGAAGTGGTCCTGAGTTCCCGTTACTGCCCCAGTAGACAGATGCAATGTTCTCATGTTTCCTTCTGACTCAGCCAGACTGGGTGGGGGTGGGGTTGATTGGGAGAGGTCTGATGTATATGTGGCTGTTTTCCTTCCCTTAGTGCTATCCCCAGGTTTCTGCTGTCTTGCTTTGATATCACCATACCTGTCTTTGGTACTAGCTGTAGTGTATGTTTCAGTACTAGTTGGGCAAATTCCCCTGGGACAAATTTCCCTGAGGCTTGGTGGTGGTAGCTCTGAGAGGATATGGTGGGGGCAGGTGTTCTCTGGGTCGGTGGGGTATGGCCAGGCTCCTGACTCAGCCTCCCTCTTGGCAATGGCAGTTGCTAAGCCAAGGCGGTTGCTAAGCCACAGCTGTTGCCCCTCCACACTGCCCTGCTCTCTGCCCTGATCTCTGGGCTCCACTGTGTGGAATATGCTAATCACTCAAGCAGCACTGCTTGGGGCTTCTCAGGGCCATGAAATGTCCCCTCCCTCTCCTCCTGCAGGGAGCTCCAGCTGCATATTGCAGCTCCTTTGTTTCACATTCCTAATCTGCCTCCCAGTCTGGCTCGGATTTGCACACCTTTGGATGCTCTGATGTGCATATCTCTCAGACTTGCTTGTGTGCAGTTTGGGTGTTATTTGTTGAGTTGTAGATGTTCAGCTTGTTATTTCAAGGGGAGATATCAGGGGAGATCCCTCATGTCACCTTGCTTCTGACATCTCCCACTTTCATTTTTGAAAAGTATTTTTGCTGGATATTAAATTCTAGATTTTTTTTTTTTTTTGGTTTTCTTTTTCTGGCAATTTGACAATATCATCACATTATCTTTTGACTTCTGTTGTTTCTGTGGTCAGTTTTATTGTTGCTCTTTTGAAGTTAATCTTTGTTTTGTTCTCTAACTGCCTTACCCTTAACTCAAAAATATAAAAAAAACAATGTAAGCCCTTTAAAGTGCATTTGGAAAAAAGAGAGTAAAATCATGTTTAATGTTACCACCCTAACACAACTAAAGAATTGCACTTTTGGACTCTTGTTTCTGCAAGCATTTTTAAGGTGGTTAATCTTTAATCCTCTGCCTATTTCTCTTTTTAATTATACTCTCTTTGATCTGTTTTCAGTTGTGGTGTGTCCAGCTGCATGTGATATTCTTGGAGCCACAAAAACAGATATGAAGAAGCCTTGCAAACATCTACATTTATAATTCGTCCCTTCTATGCAATAGTAAGAGAAACATTTTCCTTATCTACTAATTCCTCACAGACGTATTTATGATTTTTTATATGTTTAAGGGGAGAAGGGTACATGAAAAATATATAATATATTACATAAAGACTAGTATCTTCACCCTTCCCTTTCTTAAAAATGAAAAGGAACTCTCTTTTAATAATTTTATTTTTATTGCCATGACTCTGCCTTCATTTTACTTTTTTTATGTTTCGGCAAACATTTTGATCAGCTGGAATTTCTGCTACCACTTTTAGCGTTTTTCTTGTGTCTGTGGTAATGCTTTTATGGATTATTTCAAAGTTTTTCCAGGATTTTAAAGAATATTTTTTCATTTTTAATAGTTTAGAATTTAAGTAGTACGAATTCTTAAAGTAATTTCTAGGGAAAAAAATCTATTTTCTAAGATGCTAAGTAAATTCAGAGTGGCATAATATGTTCATTGTACTCAAATACGCAGGCAGCCTAGCTTTGAAGAAATAGCATGAACTGAAGATTTTGTAAGCCATTGCCCATATCAACTACCAAAAGTCACCATTCCCAGCAATTCAAGCAAAGCTACTGCTCTCATATTCACAGTTTTGTATATACAGAGCCTTGTGGACAGCTTCCCTAGCGTCTCCAAGTTGATTAGACAATGGAATATCCAGGAAAGATAGGCAGACATAAAAATAGAAATATTTCTGCTACCTCCAGGAGTAAAGCCATGAGCGTTAACTTCTCTAGTAATTTACCTGAATGGCTTTTATGCCAGATTGCCAAGGCTTTCTTCCAGAAATTTTTGTGGCTTGTATCTGCATTTGAAAGGCAGACTGGTATACTGAAGTTCCTTTCACAGTGCTTATTAAAATTCAACTATGAAATAAAATTTTACAATTTAGGAGTGGTTTCTCATACAACTATCCATTCGAACTTCATTCCAACAAGCCTGTGGAGTTGATAGACTAAAGACAGTCCCCATTTTAGAGGTGGAAACTAAATCAATTGTCCAAGATGCTACAGATAATAAATGACAGAACCTGAACAAGTACCTAAGTCAAGTCTCCTGATTCTGGTGCTCTTTCCTGCCCACAACATTGCCCTCACCTTAGAAAATATTAATAGCCATTAATAAAGGGTGATAAGTTTGCAAAGAATAGATTTTTCTTTTAAACTTTTCTTACCTATGGAAATCATTATCAGTTTTCCAAAAGTGTTTATTTATTTTGATAATTATTTAATTATCAAAACATGGATCTGTTTGATCAGGGGAAATTTTCACTGTTAGTACAAGGCAAAGCCCCTACTCCCAGGATAACAATTTTACTATGTAGTCAGTTCACCTATGGGTGTCCATGAAAGAGATACACACAACTAGAAGCTCAATTAATTATACTCTTTTTAATTATACTCTCTTCGAGTATAATCGAGTGGAATCTGAATTTGCTCCCCAGGTCCTCAGAGATCAGAGGAAATTAAACAAGTGAACCCTCTTCACCCTCTTCCTGATGTATACATAGGCTGGGACAAGTCTCTGACCCTGGGCAAATATTCCTACATGTTGTGAGTTCAAGGAGGAGTTTTCATGCTTGAATCCTATCACTTCACCTTCTCAAGGCTTTCCACTGAGAAAACTATATACACAAGGACCAATTATTAGAACAGCAAGTAAAGTGTCATTTAGTAATAAAAGCTTGATTCGAGAATTCAGCATATGGTAACCCCTCCCCTTTTTCTATTGCAGAGTTCTCTGGTTTGAAAAATGAATTGGAAAATGCAGCTAGAGCTACTCCCTCTGTTCTGAATATGAAAAGCTAAGGTCTTCACAAAAAATTTGACCTGACCTAATCATCCAGAGTAGGTGGAACCAACTACTGTATATAGGCACAGATGTGTATCACTTTTCATTGTGATGAGTCTGCTCACTGGTGAGATGTAGCCTAATGATTGATCTCAAATCAATCAGATTAGTAATGCCTATGCAGGAAGATCTAAGAAATAACGTATATCAAGTGCCTGTAATTTTGGGTGAAAATATTTGCTCTCCATCACAGACCAAGCCTGAAGCATGGAAAGAGGGTTAAAAATGTTCCTCTTCCCTCATAGTATACTCGCTGTTCCACATATATCTATTGGGAAGAGTTGATACAATGCTGTCTCCTTCCCTTGGGTGGCTTTGGTGATGAGAGAGTGAAGAGCAACTGAGTGCAGAAAAAGAAATTTAGTGCCACCCAGAGATCCAGTGCTCCAGGAGGAAGTAACAAGATTCCCCTCTCAGAACCAAGCTTGCCAGGGCTTCAGCATCACCCAGGGGCTAAGGGGGTCTTTGGGCTCAAACATTTGTTATTTCAGCAGTTCTTGTGCTGTTGCCAGTGTGTTAGAATGAGAATAGATCACAGCCTCTGGTACTGACAGTCAAGCGTGCATTCTCTACCCCCAGACTCTTGCAACATTGAGAGCTGTTATCAAACTGCTTTCCTCAGTGCCTGTAAACAGGTGCTGCCATCAGAACCCATGCTGATAACACACATCAATCCTTCCCAATCTTTGTACTGACTAAGGACGGAGATGCCCTTTTGAGCCCCTGATGATTATGTCTAATATAAGATGAGTAGCTAAATCAAGCTGGCTGTGAGTACAGGACAGTGGTTACTTTTTCAGTAGTGCATGAAGCTTGCTGGAGAGATAATGTTCATCTCTCCTTAAACCAGTCACCTAACATTTAATTGTATTCTTAGCATGTGTTGGAGATGTGGCTGTCTTGGGTCTCCAGTCCTGATAATTTCCTATTACTTCTTTTAGGAGGAGAATCATAGTTTGATATTTTACTGGGATTATAACATTGGCCTAATTAGAAGCAGGAAACTTGTGGGAGTGCAGTAATGTGGCCTCCAAATAATAAGCTGAATCCTGGGTTATAGGTGTTTCACATTTAGCCATAGCTCAGTGCCCTGGTTTGTTGGGAAAGCACTAGACTCAACATAAGATTCTGGGGTCCAGTCTTGACTTCTGCACTGACTTGCTGCACAACCTTGAGCAAGTCACTTCCCTTCCCATCGTCTTTAATTTCCTCATTGAAAAACGGGAATATATGATGGGGAATACTAAGAGATTCAAATGAGATCATAGATATAGAGCTTCTCTGACATGCCGAAAATGTCTAAGACCTGTGTAAAGCAAGCTTATTAATATTCACAGGACAATGGAGGACAAAGATGTATAGTCTATGATTCTTAAAAGTATATATGGAGAAAAGCAAGTGCGTTAGCCCAGGTATTACCCATAAGCCTCAGGTGAGTGTGTTGACAGTACCTCCCTTGGGGCAAGATAGTGGGCTTGGGGACACCAGGAGCCTAATAGAGCTAGGTAAGGGGAGTCAAGGGGAGTCAAAGATGTAACTACTAAAGTGAGAGCATGTGTCAAAAGAGAACATATATAAATATATGCACACAAACATACATAAGTACTATACACACATATTTCTCACATCTATGATGTGCCAAGTACTCTGCTAAGTCCCTTACATGTATTATCTCATTTAATCCTTATAATAACCCTGTGATATTAGCATGATTATCATCCCTATCTTAGAGATGAAAAAACTGAGACTTAGAGACTAATTTGCTATTTTTCCCATGGTCACTTAGCTAGCATGAAGGACCCAAGTCTAGTGTGACTCCCAAGCCTGTTCTCATAACCATCAGGCACTAAATTGCTAACCACAGAATCCTCTGGTTGGTTGGTTCTCCTGATCCCTTGCCTAGTGCTCTAAGTCCAGGTTCAGTCTAAAGGTCAGCCACTAGGGGGCGCTGCCTCCCCTGTTAATGGACACCAGTTGAATCCCTAAGGACTTGTGGGAGCTGGCTGTTGTCTTCCAGGGGTGGAAGACTTCTCAGAGACCCCAGAGCCTGGTTCCAGGTTGTTCTTGGGACTCTTCCTCAGCCCCTTTTAATTCACACTTGGCCCCAGGCCCCAAGTGTCCCCAGTGATGTGGGTAAAAATGCCTTTGTATGACAGTTTGTGTGCTTCTCTTCCATGTAGGCCACAGACCAGGCGAGCTACTGTCTTTATGGGACTCTCAGGGCTTTTTTGGGAGAATGAGTAAAAGGGTAGGAAGAGCCTAGTAGTTAAGAGCCAGGACTCTGTAGCTACACTGTCTGGGGTCTCCCTGCAGCCTCCCCACTTCCTTGCTGTCATGTCACCTCCCTAACCCCCAGTTTACTATCTGTAAACATGATAGCACCACTCACCCTGCTGGGGGTTGGTGAGTCTTGTTTGGGATAAGATGTGCCAAGCTTAATGCCTGGTGCACCACAAGAGATCTGGGTAATTGATAGTTTCTCACATTGGGCCCAGACCCTTCAAGCAGAAGGAATCGCTACACAGAGCCAGGGCTCATTCCACTCATAGGCCACAGAGCACTGAGGGGTGGGAACAGGTCTCTCAGACCCTTACCTCTGGTAGTCCTGTGCTTGCAGCCTAGATTCTGTGAGGGCCTGCCACTGCCCATCAGGAGACCCCCAAATATATCTCCTTTGGTGACACCTTTGTTGCCTTCAGTTCTTCCTGGCCTGGAGTTTTTCCTATCCTCTGGCTCACTTCCAGCCAGAACTGAGACTTTTCCTCTCTTGCCCTCCCAGAGATTTAATTCTTCACCAATCCCTGTAGATTCCACCTCTTGAAAGCATGGAGCTCTGGAATGAGTTGAGCCTGAATCCTGTCCTGCTTCTTATTGATGTAAACTGGGGCAAGTGCTGTCATCTCTCAAATCTTGGCTCAGCAATTTATATATTGTGTGACCTTGAGCAGATTCCTTAACCTTGCTGATGAACCTCAGTTTTCTCATCTATAAAATTATAATAATAGTACTTGTGTCTCTAGACTGCTATAAGGATTAAATGAGGTAATGCATGTAAAGTACCTTGCACTTAGAAGGTGTCACAGATTACCAGCTATGTGATTTTGGGCAAGGTTTTTTTTTTTTTAAACCATGCAAAGCCTCAGCCTCCCTAACTGTATCTATCCCTTGGGGTTGTTATATTAAAGGAATTAATCCAAGTAAGTTTCCTAGCCATGTACCAAGTCCATAGTAAGAATTTGATAATCATCAGCTATTGTAGCTCTTACCCTCCTAGCCACCCTGTTGCCTAGTCTCCTCTGGACAGGGAAGGCCCCCCTTCCATCTCAGTAGGTGTTGCCACCTCCTACCTACCCACCCCCAGCTATGCCTGTGTGGTTATCTAGTGGGCGGTTTGTCTTCTGTCCTCCCGAGTCCCCTGTTGTAAAATGGTAGCTCAAGTTCATTGTTCTGTACTGTCAGGAGCCTGGTGTTGGTTACTGTGTTTTTGGTTCACACCCAGCTGGCAAGGCTTGTAGCTACCTCCATGCAACTACACAAACCCAGGTACAGAAATCATACTAACTCATTTTCTCATTCATAAATGGGCATAATAATCATATCTATCTTCTAGGATTGTTGTGATTATAGTACCATAGAAGATCATGGCTGTAACATGAGTAGCAAGTGCCTGGCAAAAAGTGTTATAGCTACCACTTACTGAGCACTCACTCTATGTCAAGTTTTCGTACTTGAGTTTATGTGCTTGCATGGAGGTTGCCACAAGCCTTTCCAACTGGGAGTAAACCAAAAACACAGTAACCAACACCAGGCCCCTGACAGGTCAAAATGGTGAACTCAGGCCACCTAACAACCTTGTTTGGAAAGAGGATTGGCAACCATTTTACAACAGACCTGTGGTGGAAGGGAGACAAATGGCCCACTAGATAACCACGCAGATACATTTGGGGGCAGGAGTGAGAGGTGGGGAGTTAGAGGAGGGGGCTTTCCTTGCCCAGAGACAGAGAATAAGCAACTTTTAATGAGCATGTGCAGTGTGTGTGTGGGGAGTGGGGAGGCAGGGAAGGGGAAAGAGAGAGAAAGAGAGATGAAGAGAGGGAGAGAGAAAGAAAAAATAAGTGACTACAGAGAGGGCTGAGAGCAGAGAGCTGACCTTGACACCTGAGAGGTGGGGCGGGCCTATAGATAGAGCCAGCATGTGGCAGATGTGGGATTTGAACTCAGGTAGTACTACCCCCAAAGCCCATGCTCTTAATCATTATAACATTAATCTCTGGTATAGAGTAGATGCTCAATAAATATTTAATGAAATAATTCATATTGCCTCTTTCTGGAAAGTTTTCTCCCTCCATCTCTACCAGGGCCCATTCCTCAAGGCCCAGCTCAAATGCAGCCGCATGCTCAACCAACGTGCCCTCTCTCTGTTGCTATGGGGTGGGGGAAACAAGAGGCTTCAGTGCTGAGGTGAGGAAGTATGGGGCACTAGGATGGGCCAGCTGGGATGGAGCCAGAAGAAGGACTCTGGATTTTGCATGGAGATTTTTTTCTTGAGTTTGTGTACTGGCTTTGAAGTTGCTACAAGGACTGGATATACCGAATACAAAGTAACTCACACTGGGCTCTGATTAGTAGTACAGTGAATTCCAATTTCTTAGCAACCATGTGTGCACAGGACAAATGGAAGTCATTCCAGGGCAGGAGACTGGAGGAAAGTAAGACAAAATGTCTGCCACTGACCAACAGCAAGAGTGCAGTAAGGGGGAGGAGGGGAGAAAAAGTGAGGAACTCATTTAGAGTTGAGAATTACTGCTCCAAGGGTTTTAGGGTCTTTAAGCCCCTGGGGATTTAGAGATTTGTAATTCTATGCTATATAATACTCTAAAACCAAGGATATTGGGATTCCAAGGATTTAAAACCCCAACAACCTATGGTAAAAAGACTTGAACAATTTTTGAGCTATGAAATGTTGGGAACTTAGGACCCAAAACAAGGATTTTAAACGGAACACTGAACATGATAAAATACTAATCCCCCTTAGACTTCAAACCAATCTTGTTTTAACCCTTGGGACAGTAGTTTCCAATTAGTCTTCCCCACAATGTAGGGATCCCTACAGGTGCCTCACAGAAGGGGGTGGAAAGAATTAGTTTACAAGAGAGAGGACACCAGGGTGAGAATTTTGTGTCCCTCATTGTGGCTTTCACCAGGAGAGCTCCAGCTTTATTTGGTTTGTATCTTGGGCTTCTGCATTCAATTCAAAAGAAGGGTGTTCCTGCTAAAGCACAAAAAATAAGTTTTGAAACCACTGTCCCTGACCCCTGTTTCATGTGTTTTTCTTCTTTTATTAATGGGGGACAAACACTGCAAAGATGCTTTGACTGGTAAACCATCAGATGGTGCCAAGGAGATCGGGGGAGATGGCTGACAAATTAGTCATTAGCAGACTTTAGCCTATAAGCTCATTTCTGTTATAAAATTAATAATAACCACTACTACAACTACAGTTTCTCTGACTACTACCACTTATTGAATGCTTATATTATGCACCAGAGGCTAAATCCTCACACCAGTCCTGACAGGAAGTATCATTGTTTTCCCCATTTTACAGATGAGGAGACTGGGGCTCAGAGTGAATAAGTAACTTGCCCAAGGTCATATAGTTAACATATGGTAGATTCTACTTTACTTACTAGCAGAAACAGAATGGACTAAAGGAATTATAGAGGTCAAAGGTCAACTGCCTGGCAGTATTAATTAAGGAACAAGGTTAAACTTTGAGCAGTAGATGGCACCAGTGTGTGAGTTACATAGCTCGCTCAAGGCTGTGTCCAATTCAGGGAAGTTCCAGCTGGGCTCAGAACTGAAACATCTTGTCTCAAGTTCAGCCAGGAGGGAAAGAAAGATGGCCAGCATTTTGCTCCTGAATCAGATAAAGTTACTCTGTCCTGTTTGTAGCTAAGCAAAGATATGGGAAGCTAGCAAATTGGGGAATAGAGGTAGTTCTGCCAAGAACTGCTTTATAAAGACCTGAGAGTCTTTCTTCAACATTCTTGAGTGCCTCCTTCAGGCAGTGTGCTGTGTGATGAAGTCACACGGGTATATCAAACACAGCCCCATCTTATTGCATAAGAAGGGGGCAGATGCCATGGTAGGGGAGGCACTGAATGTAATGGGGGCACCCAACCTAGACTCAGGAGTCTGGGGAGGCTTCTCACAGGAGAGGTGTCTGAGCCACTCATTGGATGAATAGGAGTTTATCAAACATAAAAGTGGAAAGGCATTCTAGACAGAGATTTAAAGCTGCAGAAATGTTAAAAAGCATGGCACATTTAAGGACAGTGTAGGCATCAAGTGTTGAGGGATGAGTCTGAAGAGATAGACAAGTGAAAGAGAATAAGAGGTACAAACTTCCAGTTATGAAATAAGTCACAGGCTATAATGTACAGCATAGGGGAAATAGTCAACATTGCAATAACTTCGTATGGTAAGTGATGGTTACCAGACTTATTGTGATCACAGCATAAGGTAAATAAATGTCAAGTCATTATATTGTACACCTGAAATATAATATTATATGTCAACTATACTTTAATAAAAAATCAATTAAAAAAAGTCAAGAACTAGACAATTGGACAGCTTAGAATGTCAAGTTGAGGGCTTGATTTGTGAATATATTAGTAGAGAAGCCATCGATTCTTAAGAGGACTTGTGATTTAAAAGCAAAAGGTAAGTTCAACTGTTGGTGAGTCAATGAAGAACCATAGTAGGGCTTTATGCAGAGGCACAATATAATCTGATCTGGTGGCCAGTGTGGAGTATGAACTGCAGAGGGACATGCTGGAGGCACAAAAATTAGTGGCTCAAAGTACATAGCCAGATAACTGCCTCCACCGTATCGGGTCAGAAACCTGCAGGTAAGATGATCTAGAAGAGACTTTAGACATCTCTGGGGTCCAGCCCCTGCTCCCACCCCGCTAT